TCACCTCATGCATTTTCTTCCTCTCAAGGAACACAACCTATATTGTCTGTTGTTTAGTACCTAAAAACAGTTAATTTATGTATTTTGTTTAGTTATCCATTTGTTTTTACCATGAGAATACATCGTATACCTGTGATTTTGTCATGGCTGGATCCAGAAATCTTTTGCATATGTTTGAAATATAAGTAGTTATTAGTTTATGTTGTATAAAAAGTTATTTCTTTTGGTTTTGTTTTGTGTTTTAGAGACAAAGTCTTGCTCTGTTACCCAGGGTGAAGTGCAATGGTGTGATCCCAGCTCACTGCAGTCTCAAACTCCTGGGTTCAAGTAATTCTTCTGCCCCAGTCCCCCGAGTAGCTGGGACAACTGGCCTGCACCAAACACCTGGCTGATTTTTTTATTTTTTAATTTTTATAGAGATGCATTTTCACTGTGTTGTCCAGGCTCATCTCAAACTCCTGGCCTCAAGTGATCCTCCCACTTTAGCCTCCTGAGTAGCTCGGATTATAGGCATGAGCCACTATGCATGTCATAAAGTCATGTCTGAGTCCTGAGAAATGTTTAATATGTAGCTTTCATTTTCTTCTCATGACCCTTTTTTTTCTTATGGAAATTTAGACCTATAGCTAAGGGCTTTATGCCATGAAACTTTGAGTGACATAATGTCAACCAATCAACATTTATTGAGCATCATGTATGTATTAGATGTTAATAGGTCACAGAACTGTTACTCTTGCAAAATTGTTATTATATAATAAATCTTGATATCATAATGTAAGTTTTTGAAGAAAAGTTGAAGAATAGTATCACAGACACAAACAAGATTCCATAATTCTAAATCATTGATGGCTAAGCTCCCTGAAAAAATGAATGTTTTCTGATTAAAAAAAAAAAAAACACTGAGAACTTGATTTTATTCCTAACTCTGTTAAAGTGATACTGTGCAGTTTATATAATCCTTCTGGGCCTCTCACTTTCTTCACTCATAGAATGAAGCTATTATGCTCAATGATCTTTAAGTTCCCTTTCATATCTCACATTTATGATTTTCTGTGTGTCCTTGTATCTTGTGTACTTTCTTCTGTTTCATGCAATTAGAATATAAATAGAAGAGCATAATGTTTTGAGATTTTGTATTCTGAAGGTGATTTTGATTATTTAGAATGTAAAATGTTAGAGTGCACTTAAGTTGCAAAAAAAATGGTTTTCTAAACATAATAGCTAGTTTCCTTACATGTATGCTTTTATGTGTCCTCTGAGTCATATCCACTCTCAGTAGCTGCTGACAAAACAAGATTTTACTGCTGAAAGAGCAGCAGATCTAATATTGCTGCAAAAGAGCAGGATGAATTTTATTTTGCCTTGGGTCATCAATAAAATTCTAGCCATGCTCTGATCCTACACTCTTTATTGTTCCCCATGACACATCACAGCTGGAGAAAAAAAAAAAAAACTTCACTTTTTCAGGCATTGCAAAACTTTAAATGAAGAATTGGAAAACACCTAAAAGGTCATGCATAAGTCTTAGAGAGCTTGGAAAGCATTCTCCATGACTTAATAACATATGCAAATGGGTATATTTGTTAGGTACTGCTGACTGCTATCTAATCTGACTGCTACAAGTAGACCTACATATAAAATGGCTTGCAATAGGAGGAACTTGTTTCTTGTATATGTAGCCATCTCTGGCAGGTGAACATGTCAGCAGTGCAGCTTCTTTCTTGTGGTCATTTAGAAACCCATGTTGATAGATTCTCTGTCATTATGCAGGGTCTTAGACAGGTGTGAACACAACACCCTGTTTCCATGATTGTTGCAGTCAGATCCATTCCAGTAAGTCAGAAAGGGGAAAGAGAATTGAGTTTTTGAGCGAGTTCCATGGGCCAGTCTTCAATTCCATTGGCTTCATTTATCTGGAAGGGAGATGGAGATACCTCAGAATCAGGAAATAAAGCTCAATCTTTCTGACTCTAGAGCTCTTGTTCTCAACATTTTTATATCTTTTTTTCCTGTGATCTTGAAGTATTTGTCCAATTCTGGAACTATACAAAATAATCCCTTAATTAGAACTCAATCTTGTAATGAACCTACACTAATTGAGAGCAATAAAATCTTTATTCCTATGTTTCTTATGATTTTCCTACAAAGACTGCATTTCTCTCATTCCACCCAGCTTTATAAACTGGATGCGAGAGCAGAACTTCCTTCTCTTAATGATTTGGAGATCTACACTTGCTGTGGGAAATGAAGGGACCACAGATGGGCACACAATCCAAAATTAATAGCTGTTTCTGTCTTGGGGCTGAAAGATTCATATATTTCAAGGGAGATGGCTTTTTAAACTCTCTGACTTAATCTATAGCCCTGTTGTATGGAAAGGATCTTTTACCTCTTTCTTCTGGATTAAGGAGGTTGAACATTTTCTTTTTTTTATGATAATATTTACTAGCCAATAACCTTAAGATTCATGTAAAAACTCACTTTGCACAAGTATCTGATTTGAGGTAAAAATTGTCAATAATTGTTAATGTTCCATTTTCAAGTCCCCAGAAGTATTTCTGTATTTTTCAGTGCACGTGACTCAGTTTCCAGATGTGCCCCTTGAAGCTAGTCTGCTTTTTGTTATTTTTCTGGACAGCTATTTCATAATTCTGATGAACAAAACACATAATTTCAACTATCCAGGGATTATACTACATTTACATGCTATTTCTAAGATGAAAGACACTTTCCATCTGCCAAAAAATTGAGGCAGACTTGCCAAATGTTTTGATTCTTTTAAAAACATATACATCCAGAGCACTATGATTTTTTAAAGTTTTACAGGTATAAAAAAAGCTTTTCATCAGCTCTTTAATCCAGAGTTCTGTGATGTAATGACAGAACCCAGGTGGGTTTACCTTTTAATAAAAGATGGGATTGTTCCATGATATTTGTGCCCATTGAGGACAAAATTAATGGAAGATAGGAAGTTTGTGGACTCACATGGAAAAGGAAGTGACTCACACTTGGTAAAAAGGTCTGACCAAGATGAGGTTCTGCCAGAGTTACTAATATTCCAATGATATGTTGAATATGGATTAGGTGCCTGGTTATTTTACATAATTCATTTTTGCAAATATATTTTGAGATGAGTATAAACAATATGGCCAGTGGGAGTGATTTTGCCATGTTTTTAAAGGGAGTTAGCTGTTATGTGATAGAAAGTACATCAGTTTTAGAGACAAAATAACTTGAATTTGAGTACTGGTTCCTGCATAGTAGTTGTGTGATTAAGGACTGAATGATTTTTAATCTCCTTGACCCTCAGTTTTTTATATTTTGAAAATACTTACCTTATAGGATACAGTGGGAGTAATGAAATAATGTACACAAAGACACCTGGAACTATGTGTTATTATAATAAGTTATATATTATAATGTAATAGAATATTGAGAAATAAAAATTTGCATACTTTTTCTTGATCCTATGCACATATGCACACAAGTGCCTATATGTGCACAGACACTATACACATACACAATTTGTAATTGAGCAAATGAATATTTCTCTACAGGGCTTGTCATTTACAATACATACATGGTTTCAGTAAAAGCTTAATTTAATACCTATGATGATAATCTCATGAAAGAGAGCTTCATTTTATATCATTAACATAGGTATATCAACAGAAGAATTGTACAGCTGCACTTGTTAGCCAGCAGTCTGCTGTGCTATAATTTATTTCTTCTGAGGGACAGTATTTAAGGCCCAGGGAGTTATGTACAGCTACTGTGCTTTACTTAGGTGAGTTCAAGGGGCTCTTCCATTCAACATTGGTGTAAACAAATACAAGATCTTAATGTCTCTGAGCTTTAGTTTCTACACTTATAAAACTGGAAGAATAGGATTAAATAATGTTTAGGTGCTTTTTCCAGATTCTGAAATCTCTGAATTTAGGATCTCTAAAATCAGATCATATTAGACCAACCACAGAGTTGGTCTGATTGTTAACTCATGTCAGTGCTCTTGAACTCAGGTAACAAGAGTGTGTCTAAAAACAATCCATTAAGAGAATAAATTAATAATAGAACTAGGAATGATTTCTACCAATCATGGGTGAAATTTCTTAACTGCAATAATAGGATGACAGTGATTAGATAAAATCTGAAAAAGTTTATAGTGTTTGAAAGGAAAAAAATATATGAAGTGAAAGGTCATGCTTATTAGTGTATGATTAATAGAAATAATATAGTGCTCTCAAATACTTCTTTCTAATAGAATACCCTGCAACGATGACAATGTTCTGTGTCTGCACCATCCAATATGGCAGCCACTAGCCACCATGTGGCTATGAAGAACTTGAAATGTGACTAGTGAGACTGAAAACTGAGAATTTTTAATGTCATTTGTTTGCTTAATCAAAGGTAGATAGCCATATGCAGCTAGTGGTTACCTTTTAAGAGAGCAGAGTAATAGAGAATGGGATGTGTTCACTGAGTTATAGACTTTTTTATGGCAGGAAATTTGTCTTATTTGTCTTGCTATGGATTTATTAAAACCAACAGGGAGCACACAGAAGGAGCTCAATAAATAATCATTGTGGCAATAAAGATGTTCTTTGAGAACAATGATCTGTGGTCAAGTATATTTGGAAAACACAAAGATTCACAATGCCTATTGACATATATACTTTGAGAAATCTAGTATATAGACTTGTTTTGTATGCATCTTTCAGAAACATTTCACTAGACTCCTTGTGTCTATGTGTGTGTGTGTGTGTGTGTGTGTGTGTGTGTGAAAGAGGAAGAGAGAGGAAAGAAAATGGAAGAGGGGAGTGAGACAGGGAGAGAGAGAGAGAGAGAGAATATCCCATAGAATATAATACTATAGAACCTAATATGGAAAAAAGCTTGTTTACTGAGAGGCTTAGTTTGGTTGGTAGAGGACATGACAACCTAGCAGTTGGATGAGCTCATTCCTGTTGGGTGCCTGGATTCTTCTCTCCAATATAATACAGATGGAAAATATCGATGGAGTGAAGGACTTTGGAGCAGAAAGTAGAGGATAAGCATCCAGGTAACCTGGATAGAAGATATTTAAAGGCTCAGAACCCTCCACAGAATTGAGAAAGAAGGCTTGTAAACTGAGACTCCACCTAAGACTGGTCTTCATGAGGTGAGTGACATCCCCCTTGAGAAATACTCAATGTTTCTGAACATTGATGTAATGTGCCTTCATAAGTTTTAAGTTTATTAGGGATCATTTATTCAGAAGCTCTTTCTATTCCTTTTTAGAAGAACATCAACTTTAAATCTGAATTTTCTGTTTAAAGTACTAGAACTTAATCCATAAAGATTTTTGAAATTTGTATTTAAAAAAATACAAAAAACAAAAAGTCCAAACTCTTACCCTTGGGTTTTCCATGACTTAGATTTTTGTTGGAGTTGAATCACACTTAACAAAAAAATTAGAAGTGACTAATATTTAATTCAAAAGGAAAGAAGAAAAAAGACCAAGGTTTCTTGTTTATCCAGCTTTGTATCTTGTTGAGAGTCCATGCATAAAAGTGTGAGTGAGAAGTGGTGTTGCTGGAAACTACCTGGAATCACACATTTTTTTCCAGAGAGTAAAAATACTCAGTTACCTCTTGGTTTATGAGGCAATGAAGTATTCCAGCACATAAATATTGATGCTGAGACCCATGGGATGTAGGTGTGCTGAGCACATTTGCAAGACATAAAGACTGAAGGTAAATGAAGTTACATCTCTCCCTATAAAATGCAATCTGTCCCTCAATGGGTTTTACCATCCTGTTGTTTTTATTTCCTCCATCTTTATAACTGGAGACATCCTGCCAGCCTGTTGAAAACACCACTAGTTTTTCTTTCTGAAAGTTAGCCAACCTACTAATTATCCTTAAAATTCTGATGAGGTGTTTGCAGCTAAAATTAACACATGAGGGAAATGCTAGGATTTTAAGAAGCTGAGAACAGGAAAATGGCTAAATAAAGGCAATAAGAAAATAATCCATAGGAGCATGATTGCAAAATGAAATTGAATGTTAAACACTGAAAATATTGTGTTGCATTTTACTTGTCTTGGAGCAGGAAGAATCAAAATTCTGCATATTGAATACAGCTGCTCTAACATGTATTTCGTTTTTAACCTCATGGACTGGGGGCAGCTGAAGGGGGCAGCACATTAAACATTCTGTTATAATTTTTTTTAGAAAGTTGCATAAAAAAAGTTCTGGATACAATGTGTTGAATCCCAAGGATTCATGGGAGAAAAATACATTTCCTGATTGGACCTGTTTTTCGGCACCATGTAAGAATTCCCTGGTGAGCTATGATGCTTTTGAAATCTTATTTGAGTTATGTATATCCCTATTCCCCCAATCAGATTGTAATAGCCTTAAAAACCAAGATAATAATAATTAATGTATTCAATTAAGGAACATTTATCCGTATCCTAATAGATCCCAGGTATTACATTGTTTTAGGCACTGGATCCAGCAATGAACTGTACAGGTGTGGTCTTTGCTCTCATGGAGCTTACATTCCAGTGTTGGGGAAGAGACAAACAACAAGCAAATGAAGGACTGATGCTATTGCCGATACTGACAAGTGCTAAAACTAAATGAAGAAGGTGATATGATAAGAAATGAGGGGAGTCTGGGAAGGCATTTCTGAGAAAGGATTTTAGAGCTGAGACCCAGGATTAGGAAAGACCTGGTCACAAGAGGGTGGCGTGACGTAGAGGCATAACAAGTACTAAAGCCTTATAGTGGGATAACATGAGCTTTCAAGAGCAGAAAGATGATGAGGCCAGTGTGCCTGGAGTAGAAGATCCATTAGGAGATTAGGTTCTGATCACTTAGGACCTCACAGGCCATGCATGTAAACACTGTCATTTGCTAAGGGCTTTACCTGTGTTGTCCTACTGGGCAAAACCACAACTCTAGTTTAAATTCCAGCTCTCTGCCTACTCAACCATACCAGCTGGCCTCAAATCAAATTTCTGACACAGATCCTAAATTGGCCTTTAATGCTTCCTGGAAGTCTTACTGTGCTTCTCTAGTCAAATTACTCTCTTGTTTCCTTAGATGATATTTCATACCTTTCCTTCACTCCTGAAACTTCCACATATTTATCTCAGCTTAAGACCTTACTTCTTACTCTACTAGAAAAATTGAAGCAATCAGCAGAGAACATCTCAGACTCCCACAACGAAATCTACTCACCTACCAGCATCTGTGTTGATGTATGTTAACTTCTGCCTCATTACTGTGAATATAGCGTCCACACTCCTATCTGAAGCCACTTTCTGCCTCTGTGCACTAGATTCTGGTTTCTTTCACCTTCACAATGACATCATTCCTATAATTCTCTTCTTATTTCTTAAGTCTTTAATTATTTCCTCATTACCATTAGCATAAAAATGAAGTTATTTTTCTCACTTAAAAAAACACAGCTTTCTTTGGATCCTAATCTTCCAGTAAATAGCTATCACCCTATTGCTTGGCTTACTTGTTTAGCAAAACTCAAGAGTCATCTGCCTTTGTTGCCCTGATTTCTTTATTCCTAATCTCTCTAAAAACTCACACCTATCCAGGTTTTGTGTTCACCACTCTACCAAACTACTCTTACCAACAATTCTAATGACCTCCGTTGCTAAATCCAATGACCAGTTCTAAGTTCTCATCTTAATCACAACACCTGGCAGTAGACAGTTCCACTTCATTTTCTTGGTTTCCAGTATACACTACTCTTGTTTTTTTCTCCCACTTTTTTGATCACCTTTTTTTTTTTTTGATTGCTAAGTTTCTTTTGCTTAGTCTTCCTTTTCTCTCTGGTTTTTGTTTGCTTTGCTTCCTTGAGGGATTACTTACATACAGTAGAGTGTATATTTTTAGTGTTAAGATGCTGCTCATGTAATCACCACTCACATTAAGATGTAGAACATTTACAACACTTTAGATGGCTCTCTTGTGTTCTCTCCTGGGCAGCACCAAAAAGTACACCCACTATTCTTACCACTGTCACTGTGGATGAATTTTGCCTGTTTTTCAACACAATATAAAGGGAACAATATAATAAGTATTCATATTTGTCTGATTTCTTTTACTCAACATTATATGTTTCACTTAACCTTATGTCTGTGAGAATTATACATGATGTTTCATGCATCATTAGTTCTTCCTTGTTTGTTGCTGGGTATTCCATTGTAGAAATATATTGCAATTAATATATACATTCTACTGTTGATAGGTTTTGTGGGAGTTTTTAGGTTTTGAATATTGCAAACGTCCTATAAACATTCTTGTCGATGTCTTTTGGTGGACATAGCATTTCTTGTTGGGTGTTTGCTCAGGAGTGGAATAGCAGGGTCATACACTAAACATATGTTCAGGCTTAATAGGTGCTGTCTAACATTTTTCCAAAGTGGTTGTCCCAATTTATACTCCTATCAACAATTTAAGACAGTTCCAATTGTTCCATATCTTCTCAAACACTTGGAATTTATACTCATTTTAGTTTTAATTATCCATGGTTTCACAAAAATTGCTCTAAAAAATGTGAAAGATAACCACAAGCCCAACCATGCATTTGAAAGACTGAGGATGTACCTTCACAATAAAAATAAAACAAGAAGTGTCAAAGTGAAATGTCAGAGATATCAACTGTCAAACTTAGTACTTACAGAAATTGGACATTTCATATTTAATAACCCTAATATTTATCCTTTTTATACATCTTTACTCCTTTGCTCACCTCTGTTGTACTCTCCTGCAAGATTCCAGATTCTGTGAAATCCAACTCTTCACTGGCCTATTGGCCTGCAATGGAGCAGCTGAACCTGGCTGTAGACAAATGCGGAACTGTTGGTCTTACTTTCAATTCATGACCACACACATTTTAAGGACTCCCTCAGCAGTGCCTGACAACCCTTCCTCGTAAAAGTGCATTCACTTTCCTCCTCTTCCAGTAATTGTTTTGGACTTTCCCTCTCCTCAAATTCAGAGTTTCCTCCCCTTCTCCACACTGTCAGCTGATGACCTCACTGCTTACTTCAATACTATAATTGGAGGAGTCAGTAGAGAACTTCCTCATGCTCTCACCTTTCCCTTTGTCCCCACCTGACTTCTCTCTCACTGTGGTGCCAGAACTTGTCAGAGCTTATCTCAGGCCAGTCAATCCATCCCTTTCATCTACTGAAGGACACTCCTTCTCCAATCTCCCCTACAGCATGATTTGTCTTTCTTTTCTATTAGATTACTCCCTTCAGGATATAAACATCATATTGATTTATTTTACCCATTTTTTTTTTAAAAAAAGAAATCCTTGGATCTTGTGTCCCTCCCTCTTCAGCTACTGCTTCAATTTCTGCTTCTTTTTTGGCAAAACTCCCCCAAATAAGGTTCTTATTTGCTATCTCCCCTTCCCCATCTCTATCTCCCCTTTAGCCCACTCTAGTAACATCTTATCCTCCCCACTTTACTAAAACTGGCTTAAAATGACCACCGTCTTGGCACATCTAATGGTTAATATTAATCTTCATATTTGATTTGACATGGTAATCCCCTTTTTCTTCTAGCCACCCCCTCTTTTACTCTTCCTCTCAGCTTCTAAGACAGGATCCTCTGATTTTTCTCTTTCCTTACCAAGCTCTTCTTTCCACACTGGCAATGTTGAGCTGCCTTGGGATCCAGCCCTGGGGGGCCTCTTTATCTCCACCCACACCCTCAACAAGTCCCCCAGCTTTTACAATATTACAGATTTATATCCTTTCTCCTGAACTCCAGGCTCATACATATGACCTTGACTCGATATTTCTACTTGTAGTTCTAATATGAATCTCAGAATTTGTACATCCAAAACACTTATCTGAATTTTCCCCATCCCCAGACATCCAAATTTGCTTCTCCCCAGTCCATACCCATGTCAGTAAGGACATCCTCATTCACTCAGGTGCTCAGGCTAGAAACCAAAGTGCTGGCAGTGCCTCTGTGTTTCCTCACTTCTCATCTAATCCCTTGGCATGTCTTTTTATTTTAGCAACATATCCTAAGTCAGGTCCTTCTCAGTAGCATCCTAGTACAAGCTATCACTCCTCCCCTGGAAAACTGCAGTGGTCTCTTGCTTCCATTCTTGCCCTCTATTGCTTAGTCTCTACAAAGCAGCCACATCAGTTATTTTAATATCATAAATTTGGTTCTTGGAGGCATCCCTTCCAGCAAGAAACTTCAAGCTTCTTGCTATAATCTGGACTAGTTCCTCCCAAAGCCTATTGCACAACTGTCATCTTGAGACTTCCCTGTAACATGATCCTCTGAATTTCTTTTGCTCACTCCTGTGTTGGATACCTAGCCTTTTTGGATTCTAGGTCTTTCTCTTCCTTATTTCCACCCTCTATTTTTGCTGGAGCAATTCTTTAGTCTCTTTCTAAGTAAAAGTGCATGAGAGAGAAATCATTTGAAACCTTGAATGTCTGAATATGTGTATATTCTGCCCACTTATGTAATTGCTGTTTGGTTACATATAAATTCTAGGTTTCTCCTAGAATGTAAGGCATCCCTCTGTTGTCTATTGTCTGTAGCTTCTAATATTTTGATAAATTTGATCATTCTAACCCCAGATCCTTTGCGTGTATCTAGTTTTCCTCTCTCTGAAAACCTTTAGAATCCTTTCATAATTAATTGTGCTTTAAACTTCTACTGCATTGTGCTTTATGTGACTCTTTTATTCATTCATAGTACAGGGAACTCTGTGGAATTTTTCAACTGGTAAAATTGCACCTTTATGCTCCAGGGAATTTTCTTGAAATATTTTTTCTTTAGTGATTTCTTCTCCCATGTCTTTGTCTTTTTTTTTCTGAAAATCTTCTTAATGTGGTATTTGACTTCTTGAAGTGATCCCCTAGTTTCTGTATCATTTCTTACCTTTTTTATTTCTTTCTCTTTATATTTTCTGTGATATGTCCTCAATATTATCTTCCCATGATTCTATTTTTTAATGCTCTTACTTTTAATATCCAAGGGCTCTTTCTCCAATAGTTCCTTTCTTAAACTAGCATTTTTATCCTTGTCCTATTTCATGAATACAACTTTTTCTTATCATTTTAATGTCAGTATTAATAATCTTTATATCCTTTGTATTCTTTTATGCTTTCTTGCTAGAGCGGGCCTTCTTGTATTTGAGACTAATATACTAATGAAGCTTGTTGGAAGCTCTGTGTTCGTGTGTAGATCTTAGAACTGATTGAATCAACAGGTGAAGGTTGAGTTTCATTTATCTTTCTTTCATTTTCTCTCTTTCATTCTACT